TGAAGTGGAAGTATGCAAGTTGCAGCAAATAATATTAACAATAATAATAATAATAATAATAATAATAATAATAATAATAATAATAATAATAATAACAACAACAACAACAATAACAACAACAACACAAGTATATTGGGCATTGTATTAGTTCAAAATTCAAGTCTGAAAGGTGAATCTGCATTCAGAGGTCATCTGTGTACAAAGGCCAGTTTGGATTTTGCCATGTTTGGCTGCTTTAAACAGGTTTGATTGCGTGTCTGTTCTATTTGATAATATGTTTTGATGTTAAGTACCACCATCTTAATCAATGGAAAAATGACTCCTTTATGCTCAGTTACATAGGAATTAAAGAACTTGAAAAAGCTGGTGCTGCTGCCAAGTCCTTGAATTTCACATAATCAGGTTTTAAAATTTCACCTGATGCTCTTAAGTACTGCACCTACAAAACAAGTGCAAATCTGTTCAAAGTAGGTACTACACAATAACACTTGACCAGTGTTTGGAGAATTGCATTCTGGTTAATGAATTGTTTTTGAAGTGATAAAGTTCACTTAACTGTTGAATAGGGAATACCCACATGACTTGCACATACAAAAACTAAACTCAACCTGAATGTATCTCATGGAGCCCCACTGACAGTGAAACATTTATTATCTAATTTGTAGACTTGGAATGTCAATGATTCAATAATGCTAATACACTATGACATCTTTTTGGCAAAATATATAACATAAAATATAACACTATTTTTAAAGACAGTATATATATATATATATATATATATATATATATATATATATATATATATATATATATATATATATATATATATATATATCAGATTTCTACTCCATCTTGTGGTCACTATTACATTTTTTTAATCATTAATAAATATGTTAATTTGGATACTTTGCTTACACTCTAATCAATTATATGTTGAATTTATTTGTGTACTGTTGGCAAACTGTATGCATTTGACCAATACTTTTTATTGACATTAAAAAGTTTACTTGTGTAACTTTAGACTTTTGCACCTATTGTGCATTATTTTAAACTACTAATGGCACCCTATGCCAGCTTATTATATGCTGTCAAATAACATTAATCAATCATCTTTAACATCATGACAGAACCTGTTAAAGACTGACAGTCTCTTCTATATTGGATATGTGACTCTTTTTTCAGCAGCATGTCTTTTACATAAGGTAGACAGCAAACCTCTGGAAACCTGTGTATTTTCTGCAGTGTTCTATGGTAACAATATTCTGATCTCTATTAAATACTGACATTTGTTGCTAGGTATGGAATATTTAGCCATTTTATGTTGGAGGGGGTAATTATGCAATCCTTGCCTGAGACTATTTGAGAGCTTACTTTTTCTAGAACAGGGAACTCTTATTTTTTATGAGAATTCATCCTCCCAAAAGGTGACTTCAAGATGTTTTTGGAAATTGACCTTGCATCATAAGCCCATATGAAGTCATCCTATCTTTTACCAAAGGATGTAGACTACTGCACTAGTGGGACATCAGTGTGGGGTGGGAGGGTGGAATCTGGCAATAGCAATTGGTAAGTATTTTACCAAATTAGTCTACCCCTCCAAATACCACTAACAACATTTTAATTGCTACAAAATAGCAATAGGTAATATAGTACTGATATTTTCTTCTTTTCCTATATTTAACTTCACAACTCAATATTTGAATAATTTCAAACCAGCCCATCTAATAATAATCCATGGCAATATTTGTATGACAGGTTTCAAATTGTGCTGAGCATCATGGGTGTTTCCTAAGCCTGGCTTTGCATTTCTGCTAACAAAGCAGATGAATGTAAACACCTGCCAGAGTGACTCCATCTGCTATGCCTATTGGAAAGCCTGGGGCAAGTTAGCCTACCAAACAATTAGTCCCCGGTTTAATAGTCACCTGTAAGCTTTCAATCAGTTGTGAAATCAGTACTTTGTTAAGGCCCACACAACAATCTAAGATCAGTGATTATCTAAAGTAAGTGATGATTTAATCACAAGGATAGATTTAAGTGAGTGGGATATTGTACTCTTGCAGGGGACATTTGGGAGAAAACAATTTGCATATTTTATAAATTTATTAAAAAAGCACAAAAATGATATAAATTGATGGTGATGATGATGTTTGGTTAATGGCAATTTTTTAAAACAAATTTTGAATGATGAATCTATGTACAGAGGTCTTCTGTCTACAAAGGCCAGTGTTGCCTTTTTCTATTGGAGGCTGTATTGTCAGTTTATAATTTTTTAAAATTTGCAAACTGAAATAGCATCTTAATAATACTCTTTTGAATGGGCCTCAGTGTTGTTATAGAGTATGTTGTTTGTCTCTGGAGTTGATCCATAATGCATGGGGATGAATGAAATCTTTGCCCTTATTGTTTTCCAGATTTGATTGTCAGTGTAAAAAGGTTTATCTCCCTTGTTGACATTTCTATCATTATTAAAACCCACATAAATCATTATCTCTTCAATGTGGTCTAGGCCTGTTTGTTTAGGAGTTGATCAATTTATGTCATCGGTGATTTAAGCATTTAGTTATGTCTGAAATAATTTTTTTTTGTTTCTAAATGGGTTAATTCTGTCTGTTTTACTGATTTATTTGTACATATATATTCCATATTTACCTAAAGCCATCAAAACTACTTCATACAGTCAGAATGATCAAGTGTTTTCATGGTTAACCATTCAGTTCACATGCTACATTTGTGTCAGTCTGAAATTTATGGACATCTCAAGTCAAGGTATGGACAGGATAAATAAATATTACATTAGTAATTTGGTAATTCTTATGCTAACAAATGAGATCTTCAAATATAAGTGTATATGTCTGATGATAGATTTATCTTTAGTTTTCTTTACAAAATTATTTCATTGAGATAAAATGACTTAAGTACTTTTACAAGCACTGAGAAAAAGAAATAATGTACATATAAAGGAACTGTACAATTTTTCCTTCTTAAAACTGCTGCATCCACCTTGAGAAATGGTAATCTTGTACACACCTGTCAAGAGAGACTACCTGACTAAGGAGACTATGTTGGCAAAAGTGGTAGTCCCACAAGACTGTCCATCCATTCAGTTCTTGTAATAACAAGATTTTCAAAATGACTGATCTACTGGATCTTTATTTTTGTTGATGTTTTATGTAATGGCATTTTAAACACTGTAATGGTGCTAAATTTTTATAAATGTTTGTCACATCACATTTGGTCACAGGGCCCAGAGTATTCTGGATCACTGCCATCTCACCTCTGTGTCGGTTTGAGTCTCAGGCTCAGTGAATGTGGATAAGTGAGAAACCTTGCTAGTAGCTTTTTGAGGGTCGGAAGTTCTTCCCAGGGTTGCCGAGAAATGGCATTCAACCCTGCAACAACATCTGGTCACAATCAGCATGACAAGTAACCATTAAGATTGATGTTTATGTTAGGTTCACAATAAATTAGTAGCTTGCAATGGTCTGTTTGGGGGAAATGAGAGAATTTTAATTCAAGTCCACTTGGATAATGGTCAGAGAGAAAATGTTAACACAGGATCATTTAGTGCAGGGGTGTACACACTTTTTAAGCATGCAAGATACTTATAAAATCACCAAGCCAAAATGATCTACATGCCACAAAAATGCAAAACTTATATAGGCTGATGTCTATTTTTTTTTAATGCTATGATGATGTATTGTGCACCCCTGATTTAGCAAAAGATGACAAAGTTGAGACAAGACAGTAACAATCTAGAGTCACCAGAAATAGGTGTCTTATAAAAAAATTTCTTAGGAATAGTTACTAATAAATGCAGACCAGAGAGAATTATACTGACATAAAAGTCTTAAACATTTGGTGGTCAGCGAAAGTTAATCCTGATTTGCTGCAATACAGAAAGGTCATCAAAACCTTGATGTTTTCTGTCAAACCTGACAAAACTATGTTCAGCAGTTTTCAAGAAGAGGGCTTTTACTAATACAGTAATGGTGGTAATATCTTTGTCCTAATGGTGGTAATATCTTTGTCCTAATGGTGGTAATATCTTTGTCCTAATGGTGGTAATATCTTTGTCCTAATTGTGGTAATATCTTTGTCCTAATTGTGGTAATATCTTTGTCCTAATGGTGGTAATATCTTTGTCCTAATTGTGGTAATATCTTTGTCCTAATGGTGGTAATATCTTTGTCCTAATGGTGGTAATATCTTTGTCCTAATTGTGGTAATATCTTTGTCCTAATGGTGGTAATATCTTTGTCCTAATTGTGGTAATATCTTTGTCCTAATGGTGGTAATATCTTTGTCCTAATTGTGGTAATATCTTTGTCCTAATGGTGGTAATATCTTTGTTCTAATTGTGGTAATATCTTTGTCCTAATGGTGGTAATATCTTTGTCCTAATGGTGGTAATATCTTTGTCCTAATTGTGGTAATATCTTTGTCCTAATGGTGGTAATATCTTTGTCCTAATTGTGGTAATATCTTTGTCCTAATGGTGGTAATATCTTTGTCCTAATTGTGGTAATATCTTTGTCCTATGGAACTAGAAAGCTCTTTATCTTAGGATTCGTACAATCCAATTCAGTCCAATTCCATGGAGCCACTTAGAAAATTAACTCATATAAAGGTTTTTAAAATTTTTGTTATAGTGAACATATTTTGATAGCATCATTTGTAACAACAAAAACAGATTTTCAAGGTGGATTCGATGACTCCATGATAGCAGTGGTTTAGCAAGATATTTTGACCCCCACCCAAACTTACTCCTATGGTATTTTCCCAATAAGTAAAAAGTTGTCTGATGAGAATTTTGGGCCCCCACTGGATCCCTCCCCTCCACAAACACACACTGCTTAGATGTGGGGTAGGTAGCTTTGCCATTATTAGTGGCCATGTTGGATTTATGATTGGCACCATTTTCATTTTGGATAACTAGACTAAAAAAAACTCTTGAGGAAAAGCCACGTCATTATGACTTTCCTCTCAAAATGAACTACTTTGGTGGCCTAAGTGGTTAGAGCATCTGCCTTGGATGTGGGAGGTCATGGGTTCAAGTCCTGTCAAAGCAAAGACTTACTAATAAAAGACTTAAAAATAGTACAAGCAAATGTCTCGTTTTGGCACTAAGCATTAAGAGGCTAGTGTTAGGACTGGTCAGCCTGGTGTCAGGATGAGACTGGATAGGACATCATTTAACATGTCTGAAGCATGATGCCCCAGTGCTAGACAATACTATGAACTTCCACACTGCAGACATCATTCCTAAAATCATTAAAGCTATCTTAAAAATCAAAATACACACTCAATTCAAAATGTGCAACAAAAACAAGGTTTTGAATAGTAAACATTTCATATGGGAAATAAAAACTCTCCAACAAACCTCTAGCATTTGTAATTTTCCTACATCATGAAAAAGACATGAAATAGATACTATTGCACTGAAACCCAAGATTTCTGACATGAGAATATTGTAATTATAAACGAACTTGAAATACAGCAGTTTAAGGGAACTTCATAAACTGTCATAGAAGGGAACTTTAAATACTGTAATAGATGAGAACTTCAAATGTTGTAATGGATGGGAACTTCAAATATTGCTATAGAAGGGAACTTCAAATACTGTAATAGATGGGAACTTCAAATATTGCAATCGATAGGAACATAAAATAATGCAACAGAAGGGAACTTCAACTACCATAATAGATGGGAACTTCAAATATTGTAATGGATGGGAACTGCAAATAGAGCAGTAGAAAGGAACTTTAAATACTGTAATAGATGGGAACTTCAAATACTGTAATAGAATGTAATACTGTTGCAACTTCAAATATTGTAATAGATAGGCACATCAAATAATGCTATAGAAAGAAGCTTCAAATACTGTAATAGACTGGAACTTCAAATACTGTAATAGATTGGAACTTCAAATATTATAATAGATTTGAACTTCAAATAATGCAGTAGATGGGAACTTCAAATACTGTAATAGATGGGAAATTCAAATATAATAATTCCAAGGAATTTCAAATACTGTAATAGATGTAACTTCAAATACTGATATATATGTGAACTTCAAATGCTGCAATAGATGTGAGCGCTTCAAATATAATAATTACAAGGAACTTCAAATACTGTAATTATAAAGGAAATTCAGGAAAATGGGGGTTTGCCATATATTACATATTGCATAAGGCCAATATACTGATCATAATGACAATATTTAAACACTTTATTAGTTACATTATTGAACAGATATCATTTCAAGTTCGCAACCTACTGTAGTGTCTAGTTGTTGTTCCTACTCAAAGAATTTACCCAGTTACACACAACACTCATGGAAAAATGAGGCAGAGTAAATGGAACTGATAATATTTACTTTGAAAATCAACAAACCATGGAATATTTTGCAAGTTCATTTATCTGATCTCATATTTAAAAGTTCTGCACTATTAATAAGAAAGTGATTTGTTTTATACCTTATTTGGAACTGAAAATCTTAACAATGGGTCAGGTCTTTTATTCTAACAAACATTTAACTTAACTGAATATAAATCTAACATGTACTTTCTTTTAAGGTGTTCTGTACATAGGCAGAACCAGCAAAAGAATAAGTTCAAGAATAAACAAAATTTTAAGTTATTAAGAATGTATTATGATCATGAAGATTTATCAACAATCAGTGTACCTCAAAAAGCTACTTACATCTGGTATAAACATGGCACACCCAATACTGAAACCTTGTAAACAGAGGCATTCCAAATCTGAGGTTGAAAAACAGCAAAAGCAGAATTCTTACAGTATGCTGCCAGATCATGATAATTTTTGCCAAATGTGCTTTCAGTGCCATTGAATTTCCAGTTTGCATGAAGGGATGACAAATCAAGAATGCTATATGATCAATAAGCCAAAGAACTGAACTCTAGAGCAGACAATGAACAACTTCCAACATACTTTTCTTTAATATTTGAAAAATTTGTTAAAACTACATCAAAAATCCATATCACACACACACACACACACATACACACACTATAATGTCATAGACCAATACAGTCCTCCCATTTATTTGTATGAATATGTGACTACATCAAAAATCCATATCACACACACACACACACACACACACACACACACACACACTATAATGTCATAGACCAATACAGTCCTCCCATTTATTTCTATGAATATGTGACTTACCTGTGGCTTAATGAGATACATCAATGTGTACGATATTCTGGGAAAGTCTCATCAACTTGAATAATATTCATTACATATAGATTCTATTTACTGTGTAATAATATTAGTGACGTGAACAAATACTATTAAAATCACTACTAAAATTAACAAATACTATTAGAATCACTAGTAACATGTACAAATACTATTGTAATCACTAGTAAAATGAACAAATACTATTGTAATCACTAGTAACATGAATAAATACTATTAGAATCACAAGTAATATGAATGTGTACTATTAGAATCACAAGTAAAATGAACAAATACTATTAGAATCACTAGTAGCACGAACAAATACTATTAGAATCACTAGTAACATGAACGAGTACCATTAGAAACACTAGTAACATGAACTATTACAAACACTAGTAACATGAACAAATACTATTAGAAACACTAGTAAATTAAGAATTTCCACAACTATGTAACTCTTCTAAGATTGAAAATCATTCTATACTATATACGAGGAAAATAAAAGATTTTGGTTAAAATTCAAAATAAAAGGAACTCTTCACAAATAGATTGTAAATTAGAATTTTAATTCCATTTTGTGTTACTGATGATACATTACTTTATAGTTTTAAATATGAAATTATCTCTGAAACAGCATATGATAATGAGGCTCAAATTATTGTTGATGTAGGTATAATGCCATTTTTCAGCATGGCAGCCAATCTAAATGGCAGAGGAAGAACATGGAAAAACTCCAGAAAAAAAAACACTGACCCATGAAAAGGTACTGGCAATCTTTCTCACATACCCACACTGGCTGAATCTGAGACTTGAACCCACACAGATGGAGGTGAGATGGCCGTAATCTGTAATGGTGAGTGCTTTAGATCACTTTGCCACCCTAATGAAGCTCAACAGACTTGATTGTGTTTATTTGTGGATGCAACCTTGTTAAAATAGTACTGAAAAACTCTATATTCTTTGTAGAGAAAGTGTAATATTGTCACATAGAGTTAGATTTAACTCATTAACCCCTTGAAGATTTTGTCATTTTCCCCTGAAATGGGAAACACATGACCTTGATGCTACAGAGTTTGGAAGCAGGCTACTACATCCCGATGCATAAACACGGCACCAGAAGTTAATGAGTTTACAAGGATTTGGAAATTTTTTTACTAATTTTCAAGGAATGGCTAAGTTTGTAATTTATGTGCAATGTTGATGCACAAGTGACTGAATATGCAAACAATATTCAAATTTGGTGACTCATCAAAATGCACCTATTAGGTGATTAATCCCTTTAGGATTTTGTCGTTTTCTTCTGAAATGCAAGTAGGAAACACATTTTGGATGCTATTTATTAATACATGCTAATACATCGACTTCCAAGAGATTTCCAGTTAACCTGATGCCTAGTTGTGTTGGAAACATTGCTTCTCATTTTCTATTTTTGCGCATGAGCAGAAGGGTAAAATTTTGAGGTATCTGGTTGTGTGTGGGGTTCGTTTTTGCTTAACAGACCCCATCATCCACCTTATCCTACTTTTTGCAATGGTTTGCCTGTCTGTGTGCATTTTAGACTGGTCTGCCTTAGAACTGAGGCCAAAAAGACTAAAGCATGACACAAAATCAGATTCTGACCATGGGCAAAGTGTGGGTGGAAAAAAAAAATCGGGTCCAAAAAATTATGTTTTTCTTTCTGTATTTTGTAGTGCAACTAGAATATCCAGATTATTTGATATTGTAGTGCAACATCTGTCTAACTTTCCATAATACCATCCACTTTAGTGTACATATATGACCCTGATGCTACAGAACTAGGAAGTAGGCTACTGCCTCCTGACATGTAAATGTAGTGCCTGGGGTTAATGAGTTAACACATGTGAATGTTGAGAAAAGTATTTGGGAGGGAGCCTGGGGGAGCAAACAAAAAAAATAAAATTTCACATATAAGTGAAATTTGTAAGGCATAGCTTGTCTTGAGTAGGATATGCCCCTTTTGAAAACAAAATGGAGATTTTAATCAAATGAAGACAAAACAAGTTTGAAATAACAAATACAATTGATAACATACATTTGTGTTGCCTCTGTGTAATACAATCTAGAATGTTAACTATTAAAATACTGTACATGTATATAAAAAATACATATAAGGGAGTACAGACCACACACATGTAAGAAAATTCATGTCAGCTACATGCCATTAAAAAATTCATGTGTCAGCCACATGCCATTAAAAAGTTCATGTGTCAGCCACCTGCCATTAGAAAATTCATTTGTCAGCCACATGCCATAATAAAAAGGAATAAAACAATGCACAAACAAAAGAAAAATGGTAGTACATGTTTAAGCTGTCAACCAATATGTGTCACTAAACAAATGAATTCACTAGATCATAGTCCCCAGTAATCACGTGGCTGTACATTTGTTATGTACATTCTAGAAGCTGTTGTTTTCGGGCTTAACACCATTTTACAGCACACAATAGGATATACATGGCGGCCAGTATTAATGGTGAAGGAAGAAACCAGGAAATCCACAAGAAGAACCACCGACCCACAAGAAGCTACTGGCAAGCTTTCTCACATATACTCATTCACTGAATCTTAGACTCGAACCAACACAGACAGAGGTGAGATGGCAGTGATCTGTAATGGAGAGCGCTTTAGACCACTCAGGGCCCCCCAATCTAGAAGTACTTTTTTTTATTAGACTTTGGTCTGTCTTAGGTAGCAAAGTTTGTTTTTGTTTTCTGTATGGTTTAATGCCATTTTCAGCACAAGATAGCTATAAATGGTGGCCAGTATAATGGTAGAGGAAGAACATGGGGAAAACCCCGGAAAGAACCACTGACCCTCAAGAAACTACTGGCAATCTT